GTCAACTGCTCCTCGGATGGCGCATCTTGGCGATTGTGTTCATGCTAGATGGAACCCTCTGCAACAATCGTCAGAACCATGTTGTCAGAGTCACTGGGTCATGATTGCTGTCGGAGACTTTGAATGATAGACATGGAACGTAAAGGACGAGCACATCACATTTCATCGAGATCGTGGTGCTTACTGCTCCTTCGAGCTAATCGGTCTTGGGGCTGGCATGAGACGCCAACGCACACGAACGACTTTGGCAGAACGAACCATTTGCATATTATGCGATGTTCTGGCCAGAGACTTACTAATTATACGGTTAGTTGAAAGGATTGTAGACCAAACCACTGGTTTCTCATAGGAGTGATGTGAAGAACCGACCGGAAGAGAATGGAAAAATTTACAGCACTATTCTGGTGATGTTTCCAATAAAAAGCAAAGCTTGGGTGCTACGGTTGAGTCCATTATGATAGCAGTTCGCAGATATGACCTCAGCTACCGAGCCAAGAGACTGTGGAAGGTCAAAGAAAGACATATAGGACACAAGCCAGGTGTGGCTAAATTCGCTGCTAAGCACCGGGACGTCGCGTAATTTTTATGTAAGTGCAAGCTGGTGAATGTTGTAGAAAGCTGTCTTCATGTCCAATTCATTATTAGAGGGTCTTCGTCAGCAGCCCAAACGAGTAGGATTATCTTGCTATGATGAAAGGCTCAGCGAGTAACCGCCAGGTTATATGCGTGGATCACCCGCTTGGCGAACTTCACATACTTCTGTGCCAAGGGTGTCGAGGGATCTGCTTCACGACTCCGATACATTACACATTCCGCAACCTGGCGGATGCTCAGCTATCAACGTTAAGCATGGCAAACGTAGCGAGCGAGACGTGTATCACTTGTCATATGTCGTCTGCTTTGAAAGTACAGCAAATGACACCCGTTGTGCTCTGACCTGGCATCTCGGAAACCCTTGATGACGGCACAGAGCTGAGGTTTGGGGGCTAGCTTAGCAAGGCACATTCATGAATACGAGACGCAGGAACTTTTGGTCTTGGCAATAATTCAATGTGACTTTCTTCACGGAGGACGTACCCCGCGATGCATGTCAAGCGATGGACGCCTTACAACTTTTCTGAGAACCGACAATCCGCAGGACTGAATGGTCTCGCATTTTCCGAATTTAGGTAATGAAAGTATGCGTCTCGTGTGACGAGAATCCTAGAGTTTAGGCACCTGTAGGCTATGACAATGTGACGCTGGTTTCATTTATCGTCAGTTTTCGTGCTAAGCCGCTTCCCTCCTCAGCCCCAGGGCTGTCTTTGTCTGTATCTTGCCTATCACTTTGGGGTTTATCTACGTCGTGAAGCTTGATAGGCCAGACAACTCTAGCTATTAGGATGCCGTCAGACTCCTTGTGGGTCCCGTCGGGCGGAAGATCGACGCCCTGTCATCATGCTGACAGGTACCCGACCTGCAGCGGAGCTTAAGCTTAGAGACATGAGAAGCAATGCCAAGGCAAGAAGGATCGAGACGGCCGTTAATTGAGTGCTAGTCGTGTTTTTCGGACTGAAGGATCAGGTGACGAGTTTTGAAGTCGCGTCTTGGCTGGGCACTCGTCCACGGATGAAGGATATAAAAGTTGGAGGTTGAACCTCGAGAACCACCATCTTCTCCATTCAAAGCACCCCCATCGCAATCAAAACAACAGAAATCCTTCAAACTTCTCAGTTTCCAACCCTAGAAAACTATCAAAATGCGTTTCACCATCACCGCCATCACCTCCATTCTCGCCGCGGCCAGCGCCGTGTCCGGCCTCAGCGTCGAAGAGGCCCGCGAGATCCGTCCCCAGGTTGAGGAGTACCTCAATGCTCTGAAGAGCAGAGACGTTGAGAAGCGCAACTTCTGCACCGACCACTGGAAGACTTGCGAGAACTGCTTCGAGAAGTACCCTTACTGTCACATGGATAACATCCCGAGCTCAATCAACTGGCAAGTAACTCTATCAATGAGCACAACTACGTGTTTCAATGCATTTATAAACAATGCTAATATCTACCGTTTAGTTTGGCTACCTGCAGCTCCTGCCCTGGAGACTGTTAAACACACACGATGACATGCTGGAGCTTAAAGATCTGCCATTGAATTCAGAACAGATTGAATAGGGGGAAGCAGGATGGGCTGGATTGATCGGGTTTTAATTCCATAGTCTGTCGCTACATTATTTTTCACAATTGACTAGTTGGCCAACAAGAAACTACGTCCCGTAACTCGCATGTTGTCATGTGTGTGTGAACCTTCAACTGAAAAGATTCAGCAAGTTGACGGAGACGTCTTTTTGCCTAACGACCACGACCGAATCGAGCAGCATCCAGACCGCTTGGTTACCAGGAATCTTTGCACGCTAAACATTTGGAACGGCGATTAAATTATTCGGCTAACTGAGGAAGATCCAACCATGCCCTCCATCACAATGTGTGTTGAAAACGCCCTGCAGCGTTGTCAAGGCCCCGCCCCCGCATCATTTGACCAACCAGATCCTTGCACCAAGATGTTGTCATAGTTGATCTGGACTGAACGAAGGGCGCATTTGTAACCGCAACTGAGATTGGCGTATCAAAGTCGATAACACCCCCTCCTCTGCATGCAATTATCTCAGTGCGATATCTAGCGTAACATTCCAATCAGCCTTTTGCGAGTGCTGTCAATTCCGCCTGTATGCTCCCCACGATGGCAGAGTGGGGTGTCGAGACTGCGACCTTTTAGACTCAATAGATGTATTGAGTCATTAGGCGCGCTAAGCTTGGCTCTTATCAAACCGTTACCACTATTTAACTCATCAGCCACTTCATCAGACCATCTCGTCAACCCCGCAACTTCCCCTCAACCACAACACCGACAACATGGACCACAGCCTCTCAACCCGTGGCAGCGAAGCGGCCAAGCCAGACGATGGCATGCTTCTTTGGACCATCGTCCAGGACCTCTGGGACCCAACAACGAACCCGACAGGATACGTCAGCCTCGGCATTGCCGAGAACTCGCTCATGCACGAAAGACTATCGGAGCACATCCATAAGAACCTCGCGGTTCCGACGCACTCTTTCACATACGGTGATGGCATGACGGGATCCAAGCGATTGAAGGCATCTCTCGCACGCTTTCTTACAGGCCACCTCAAGCCTGTCACTGCCATCCAGTCGGAACATGTCTCCGTGACCAACGGCTGCAGTTCGGCAATCGAACATTTAGTTTGGGCATTGGGAAACCCTGGGGACGGTTTTCTGCTTGGACAGCCCCACTACGGCGCGTTCGTTCCGGACGTGGAGTATCGGACGGGCTGCGAGCTTGTCCCGGTCCCGTTCCAAGATGTTGACCCTCTTGGGGCCGGTGCCGCACAAAAGTACGAGGACGCTTTGCTGGCTTCCCGGGCCAAGGGTGTCAAGATTGCCGCGTTAATCCTGTGTCACCCGCACAACCCACTCGGAAGGTGTTACCCACGCAGTCTTATTCTGGATCTGATGCGGTTGTGCCAGAAGTACGACATGCACCTCATCAGTGACGAGATCTACGCGCTTTCCGTGTGGAATAATGCCATCGACACTCAACCTCCTCCAGTGGCGTTCGAGTCTTGCTTGTCGATCGATACGACGGGAGTCATGGACGCACACAGACTTCACGTTCTCTGGGGCATGTCTAAAGATTTGGGTGCCAACGGCATCAGGCTCGGAGCCATCGTATCTCAGCACAACCCCTCTTTCCACAGATCTTTGACACCGGTCGGCATTTATAGTTCTCCGTCCTCGATCTCGGATCATATTACTGCGAACATCCTTGACGATAGCGAGTGGGTCGACGGCTACATTGTGGAGAACCAGAAGAAGCTTCAGGAGCACTACGAACTAGTCGTGGCCTGGGCGAAGCAGAACGGGATTACGTATGCGCAGGGAGCAAATGCGGCGTTCTTTTTGTGGATAGACTTGGGAAAGATCTATCTCGAACGACATCCAGAGAGAAAGGTTGAGGATCTTAGCGGGGAGGTAATGCGCGCGTTGTTGAGTAAGAAGGTGTTCATTGCTTCCGGGAAGCAGTTCGGTTCTGAGAAACCTGGTTGGTTCAGAATCGTGTTTTCTAATAAGAAGGATCTGTTGCTCGAGGGTCTGAAGCGTATTGTCGAAGCGATTGAAGAGTAGATGCATACATGTATCCCAGAATTTAGAAAGAAGAGGATACATGAGTCCCAGGGAACGAATCGCCTTAACATCCGATTTCATCGATGATATCATATACGATTGGGCTTGGTAGAAATTACAACCGTGAGAGACTTTTGCAACACTAGGGCAGCACAACTCGAACTCCGAGCTCGCCCACTGAGTTGCCTCGCGTTTGCCCCAGTAGCGTCGGACTTTAATCGATCCCGTAACTAACCTAGACTGATGAACGGTATTTGTAGCGGACTTACCGGATGGCTGGAGATGTTAAAGCTGCGCCCTACCATCCAATAAGGCGTTGCAGCGGGGGTTGCCCAGACCCCAAAACCGCCAACTGAGTCAGGTTATGATAGTGTCCGGCGGAATGATCGACGACTGCGTGCGGAGTTCGCACCTTTGGAAACTTTAGATCTCAAGTTCGCTGTCATTTCATCTACAAGTAAACTTTTTTTTTGTTTTTTTATTAAATCACCTCTTAGACTTATGCAAGTCTCGCTCTCGCCCCTCACTTGGTCTCTTGGTATGCTGTTCTACGCGGATGTACAGCCTCTAGACAACAGTCATAGTCATTGATAGTCGTAACGAATCTGTGCGGAAGCACCGGAAACCTTACTAGGACCTTTTGTCTTGAGGATACGAAACCGAGAAAGAATTCGTATCATTGTATGGTTCGCTGATCTATAGTCTGGTGTTGTAGTTCTCTAACGCCGAAGTGGAATTAATAATGAAGTTGACTTCTGCCATCCCACCGACTTCTGTTTTGACCACACATTTGTACGCTTCCACAAGAGTCACTTACATATCAAAATGAACGCCAAGGCCCTTCTCGCTCTCTTGTTCGCCTCCGCGGTGATGGCTACTCCGTTGGAATCGGCCAACAATGGTCTCCTGGGCCGCGAGCCACTCCCTCAAGGAAACTGCTGCTCTTATATCCCCGGAACATGCAACTGCGGTTGCGTAAGTGCCCTCAACTCTCATTCGTGATAAGTGAATTTGAACTAACCTGGTTTATGGATGTAGTGCTCAGGTGTAAGTTAACTACTGCCTCCTTGTCTTTGGAGTTTAGAACTAGCGCGAGTCGAACTGCCTACGATACTAACATGAACTAGGGACCCTGCGCTACCGACAGTGACCCCAATGCTACGTGCCCGTAAAAGGTGTTGTCATTACAGAATCAGCCACTTGGTATCGTGGAGAATTTCTAGACAATTGAACAGGAGACGGGGCAACTTCTTTTTCCTCAGTTATGTATCTACAATCAAATAAACAAATTACTCCCTCTAACGACTTCTGCGCGCCACATCAACGTCGAATTTCTTCAGCTTAGCAGCATTATCGCATTGACAACATGAATGTCTTGCTGAGAAAGAATGGACCGTTCATATTCAAGTCTCTTTAGCATGTCCGAGGAACGTGCGCGCTTTGCGAGGACGGAAGAAATTCTGGACATACGTAGCCGGACTCCTTTCCTGCTGATCATGCAATTGAACCAACAAAAGTAGCCGCATCTTGCAACCTTGGAAGTCAGAGGCCGCTACAAACTTGGTTTCGTGGCCTGCGTCTGAAGATATCCAGAGGACAGCAAGGGCAATCTCCTTTGGAACTGGCCCTTAGTTTTGTAGCGGTTCCGATCTTATGCTATTTCATGGAACGCCCTCATAGGTCTACTGCAAAAAACATGATTTGCCAAAGATTGTATCCAAAAGCAAATGATTAATCATGTAGCTATGCCCGAGATCGGCCAGCACCGACACGGGCCACTTCGGCTCCTGACTCAGGCTGTGGTTCCACTCCCCCGGATTCGGCACCGGAAACTACATGCGGGTCGCGCGGGAGCCGTAATCCGTGATCCGAATCGCGATCATTGAGAGATGCACCTCCTTAAAGCCAAGACTCTCCCCAGCCTCAAGCTCTGAGCTTTCTACAACTGTTGGATAACAGCGTCAACCAGAATTCAAGATACCAAACTCGTATTTGCATTGACGAGCCTCTCAGACATCGAGTTTCCTTGCCTCGTGTACCTTCAAAAGTATTAACTCTGGAATTGCGGCTTACCGGAAAAGAGAAAGATCTTGGTAATTCCGTGGTCATATGAGTATTGCTTATTCCACCTCAATTGTTGTCATTGAAATCAGAACCAAGGCCGTGACGTCTAAAGTCCAGGGGCGCTCTTCACTGAATCAGCCACGGGGTCTGGGTATTTTATCCCTTTGAGGCAAGGTCAATTTTCGAGATCAACGCAAGGATGCTTCTGCGGCCCCCATCTTCCCACGGCACCTTAAAGCATCCGAACTATGAGTGAAAATCCTTGCATACCCGCGCGGCAGGCAAGTCTTTCTCCTGTTTGACTTGCAGGTTGGCTCCCACCCCTTATGTGAGAATTCACCTCAGCAAGGACATCCATCTTCAACTAGCCTATCTATCACAAGGCTAAAGGCATGTGCCGTGATGTGGACGGGGCAAAGTGGAGGTCGTGGATCTTGTTCACGGCCCGGGTCTGGATGCAAGAACCTCTTTAGGAATGTCATTCGATTCAACTTAGAGACCGTGCCGGAAATATAGCATGATAAATGTTTTACGTCAATGGAAACAACACAAATTTGTAAGCCTCGGAATAAGGCTCAGAACTGGCTGCTCGGTTTCGCTCGGAATGAAGGACTTGGCTCAAATGCGTGCGGGATTGGCTGAATTCGCGTGCACTTTTGATGCTGAACCAACAATTTCCCGACCGATTCCTTGTCAGCTCCGCTATAGCAGAAATTGGGACGTCCACTGGACTGCCATGTTCATCTGATTCCAGCTCCCATCGCTCTCCCCGCGCCAAGAATACGACACTGGGGAGGTCGAGTGGTTGCCCAGTCCCGCTCTCCCACCGGAGCCCACATCGCAAGAGGTCCCTGCCATTTCTGTCAACCTACCATACGGACACTAGGTAAGACATGAATCGACCTCAGTGGGGTCTTTCCAGCTGTCAAGTCATCGCGAGGTATGGTGTGATCGCAGGTTACTCCTATCCCTGACAAAAAAATAGCTTTTATATAAGTTCCTTCCCCTCCCTCTCAACGCTCTTCTGTTGTAACCTTATTATAGACAAGGCAGTCGTCACTCTCTACGCTCATTTATCAACCAACTGAAGATCCAGCCAACATGGTTCTGCCCACGCTCTTTATCTCGGCTGCCCTGGCCACATCCGTAGCCGCCTATGACAGCCTCCTCAACTTCAACGGGGCCCCTGAAATCGAAACGCGCACAATTGACGACATCCACAAGGCTGCGCTCGCGGAGGGAGGAGTGGTTACTCTCTGGCATGGAGGTGATGAGAAGAACCAGCAAGATGCTCTCAAGGAGGCTTTCGAGAAGCGCTTCCCCGGCATGACTCTCAACTTGACCGTCGACGTTTCCAAGTACATCGACGGAAACATTGATCGCCAGCTATCTCAAGGCAATGTCTACGTCGACAGCGTGATTCTTCAGGTATGGAGAATTGATCTCATCTCTCATCCCAGCTGCTGATCATTTGTGTAGACCCTTCAAGATTATCCCAGATGGGACGAGGAAGGGGCTCTCTTGCGCTACAAGCCTCTCAACTACGACAAGATCCATCCCGGGTTCCGCGATGTCTTTGGTGCTTGGTACGCTGTTGTCGTCTTCGGCTGGACCAACATTTGGAACGCCGACAAGGTTTCCGATGGCCCCGTCGACTACCTCGACTTCTTGAAGCCCGAGTACAAGGACAAGCTGGTGTTCACCTACCCCAACGATGATGATGCAGTTCTCTACGCGTTTGACTTGGCGTGAGTTCAGGCCCGTTCATTTCATTGTCAGACAATACTGACAGTAAGATAGGATGCAGCAATACGGCTACAGCTGGTTCGAGAACCTGCTGACCCAGAACCCGCGCTGGGTGCGCGGCACTGCTACTCCCACCACTGTGATGGGTCAGGCCAACAACTCTTACGCGGTGACCTTCACTGGCAGTGTCGGCATGATCCCCTCCGCTCCTTTCAATATCTCCATTCCCAAGGAAGGCTTCTTCGTCACGTGGGGTCAGCGCGGCGCTATCCTTAAGGATGCTCCTCACAAGGAGGGTGCCAAGCTCCTGCACAACTTCCTGCTCAGCGATGAGTACCAGAACCCCAATGTCACCGGTTCCTGGAGCGTTCGCCGAGACATCCCTGCCCCTACCGGATGGCCTGATCTGATGGAGATCAACTCGACCAACCCTATCGACTTTGAGCGTTTCATGGTCAACCGTGAGCGTGTTGAGAGGTTGAAGATCTTCTTTGAGGACAAGATTGGCACTGCTCAGGGACTTAGCCCTCTGATTGACGACTTGTAGATGTCTGTACTGTTTGGGTAGCAAATACATCAGAGAGAAAAGTTCTACGGCTATGATCTATTCTTTCCAGTCCCTCTTTCGCATGTATGCCCCCGAGACATGTTGGAAGCAGGTCCAATTCTGTCGAAAGTACCTCGTCCATCCTGTGTAATACCTGTTTTCATGCCGCGAAAGGATTTCCTGATAATTGTCAAACATGGCTCTCTTGGCAGCATTGGCAAACCAGTCTCTCGGGTCGAGTATCAGATCATCTCTTCGCCCTCGATGTGACCAGAATTCAGTGTGGTTGGAGAGACCCACCACCACCCGAGCACTTGGAAACCACGTCATGCACGTAATTTTAAGGTAACCATGTGATAACTCAAAAACAAGCATAAAACAAGGTTTACCAGGTTCGCGGATCAAATTCTTCTGTTCAATCAGATTTCCATTTTTTTTTTAAGTTATCTTTTCGTATTGATTTCGAGATTGCCATTCACGCGGCCTCTACGCAAAGATCTATTCTTGACACCACGGTCGCGATTATCCTACACAATGAAAGAAACAGGACTCGCAAAGCCAGCCAAAGGCAATCTGTATCTGGGCTCTGCTTCCAACTCGTCTGAGAGTAGCCTGTGCTCACATAGCAACAACATGTCGGTAACTCTGGTCAACCCGGACATTGGCATCTCTGGTCACGCCGATGTCAAGACGTTCGTCGCCATCCGGACTATTGTCGACATCTCGATGCGGTGTCTACCGTCCAAGAAGGCGTATCGCAGATGGTGAGAGCCAGCTAGTCGAGAGGCGGAAGTGACCTTCGCCTTGGCAAGACACTCCAATATCGCGCTCGGAAGGCGAAATTCCATGTGCTGACATATCCACAACTGGGATTTGTTGAGTTCGTCACTGCAGGGACGACGTTTGGCGAGGCTTTCTGTGCCTCGGCACGAAAGCGGAATGGGATTTCGGGCTGGGCACCGAACAACATGACGCCATGGTGTATGGGCCCAGGACCAGATTCTCCGCAAGGAACGGTAACGTCGAAAACATAACCTTGCTGAGCCTCACAAGGACAATTGCCGGAAGACCAGACTGCGATCGACACTGATCAAGATGAACCGAGCGACCGGGCCGATCTCATTTTCGTCTTTTCGTTCGGACCGGGAAAAGGGTTGCGGGCACGCTGCCTTCTGCGAACGTTGCGTCGACACGTTTATCCAGATGCCATAACCATAGTGAATGCATTGTTCGGATGACAGACTCTAGAGAGCCTCAACGTTGGTGGCTGGCGGAGAGACAGGCTATTCTGCGTTCTCGTTCTTGAAGCAGAGTTTGCATATGGGTGAAATGTGTAAAACGTCATGGTGAGGTCGCAATAAGACTGCCAAATAAGGTGTCATCGTTATTTTGGCCACCCGGTCAAAAATACTGAAAACATGCGCCGATCCCTCGAAGACATGTCTCAGGGTCCAAAAGAGGAAACTGCGAAATGTTCCAGAGCTTGGGAAATAACTCGGGGCCGGGCTCGGAAACTGTCGATCTCCCCTTTTCCATAACGTGCCCACGAGACAAAATTACAGGTTGCCTGTCGATTGATTCTTGGCTTCAGAAGCCGGCATTTGAGAATGGAAACGTAGCATTCATGTTCGAGTCACGGATCGAGTAACAAAATTCGCACCCGCCAATGTGCAGTAGAAATGTTTTGCAAACCATTAAGATTTCAATGCTGGAGGGTATGGATAAGGCAAGAAACGCTTTTCTATCTGGAATAGGATTTCGTGATGTGTGACACATGTCTGGAAAGATTGTTGAGATTACGTAGAAACACAGAAG